AGGAGGCAAAGGAAAAGGCAAAAGGAGTAGGAACAATGAGGTTAGATGAGGAGGCGGGAAGGACGCGACAACACTGCGTGAGGAGTGACCACTTCTTGTTACACAAAGTTCTTTTTCGTAGGCTTCTTTTATGAGGCTTCTGTTCGTATCGTCCTTCTTCTGTGTATAGTCGTTTCGTTGAATTCTTTTTATCGTTCACTTTTTCCTTGTCTTTTTTCTTGCCTCTCTTCCCCAACCTCCCAAACAACCTTTTCCAATCGTCTCAGGATGAGGGGAAAACGGATGAGCAATGATACGTAGGAGCAGGAGTGGGAGGAGATAAATGGAGGAGAAGGCGAAGGAGGACGAGCAGGAGGACGACAGCTCGGCCCAGGGACATGTCCAGAGAGGATGGAGGATGAGGACAATGACGACGACGACGACGTCAGGGAGGAGTTGGGAGATCCATATACCCCTCGGGCCCTCGTTTCCTTTTTTCTCCTGCCCCCCTGGGGCTCCCAAGACTGGAGATGGAGCTCATGATCGCGGGAAGCTGGGCAGGGAGTGGGCAGAGATGCGGTGTAGGCAAGAGATTGGGGGGAGGCGGGGTGAGTATCAAGTCGGGCATGTCCTTCTACGAGATGAACATTCAAGGATCACCAAAATTATTCAGACGACGGTTTATCATACTATTTTGACTCTTGTTGATTTTTGTTTGAATGATTTTAGGTGTGCCATCCGAAATTTCCTGTAGTAGGGCATGCCCGACCTAAGGTTGGTAGGGGGGCGTGCTTAAGAGAAGGGGCAGCGCTCGAGGGGAGAAGGGAAGGCCAGCGCCAGGGGGAGGCCCTCTCTGGGCGACGGGGACCAAGCCAAGATGGGATCGGTGGCGCCCAGGAGGGGAGTGATGCCTGGGGGGGGGGGGTACAGGGCCGTTTTTCATACATGCTCCGCGTGCGGATCATGTATTAAACATGCAGGCATTTAGTATTAAGAACAACGATGAGTTCATGCATACATTCATCCACAGATTAATCATGTATTAAACATCCAATATTTTTAACAATCCTATGTATGAAAAACTGCCCTGTATGGGGGGGGTCGCATGGCGGGGGGGGCATGATGTTTCCCAGATTTCACGGCGCCTCTCCTTGTTTCCGCACGTCCCCGCCGCCCCCCCCCCTGTGCCGCCGCAACTGCCGCGCCCACTCGATGTCGCCCCCCCCCGACCCTCCTTCAAGGGGCTCCCCCCCCCCGCCCTTGGCCCCCCCCGAGGGGGGGGGGGGCACGGGGGGCAGGGTCTCCTCCTACTCCTCCTCCTCCTCCTCCTTCTCCTCCTCTTCTTCTCTCCTCCTCCTCCTCCTCCTCCTCCTCCTCCCTCCTCCTCCTCCTCCTCCTGGATGCCAGGGGGGCGATGGACGCAGGGCCGCCCCATGGGTCGGAGTTCTGCCAGGGAGCTCCACCCCCAGATCTCCCTCCCCTCGGCCTCCTGCAGGCGGGGCCGGAGCAGGTGGGGTCGGAGGATCGCGCCGCATCGCCGATGCATCGATGGTGCTGCTCGATGTGGCGCCCGTGTTTCCCGACGCGGGCGTCGCCGATGCATCGCCGGCGTCGCCGATGCGTTGGCGATGCGGCGCTATCATCCGACCCCATCTAGTCGGACCCCATCTAGTCTAGGAGGCCTCTACTTCCACATCCCTCCCCAACCTTCAGGGGCAACGATAATCAGGGGGCGGGACAGGGTCAGGGAAGGAAACATCGAGCGCTAGAGTCGGCGAGACATCGCCGATGGACTGGCGATAGGCCCCCGATAGCCAGTCCGCACGTGCCTGGGCGGGTGGGGCTATCAGGCCCCTAACGACGATGTATCGCCGATTCCATCTCGTTGCTTCCCCCCCTCAGCCTATCTCTCCTTCTCGTTGCCCCACCAACCCTGCCGCCTCGGTCTTGTGGATCCGTACCAGAGGCGCCTGCGGTGTTCGGCAAGTTCTGGGCCCAAGGACTGGCGAACTGGGACCCGATTCAGTGACACACGCGGTTGGGGTGACGCCCAGTCGGCCAGGATGAATGTCTTGGGTGGCTCATTCGGTCGCGTCTCAGTGCCGCTTGCCTGGATCACCGATCCAGGCAAGGTGCCGTGGATGGAAAAGGCTGCCCCCCCACAATACGGGGTAATGTTGCAGGTCGGGTCGGACTTTCAGGCCGTCTCCGGTACCAACGATTCGCGCGGCATCAGGGGCCTGCCCGCGGCCGGCGGTCGGAGGCGGCTGGGTGAGTCAGTGATTTGGTAGACATGCGAGTGGCTGTGTGGACAAATACCAGCGGCGCGGCGCCACCCTAACATACTAATACTATGTGTGCGTCGCCCCCTACAGGGGGATTTTCGACGAAAAATAAAAAATACCCCCAAAATAATAAAAACATAATCCAAAAATGCTTCAAAAATAGTCCCCAGGCTATTTTTAGAGCATTTGTTATTATTTTGGGGGCATTTTTCATTTTTGGTCGAAAATCCCCCTGTAGGTGGACAGGCTCGACTTAATACTAATGCTATGTGTGCGTCGCCCTCCCCCCCCCCTACCAGGGTTATGATGTTCCAACCTACGTTAGCCTTGGTCACCAGAAGGAATCTCGAGCACCAGGGAAGCACCGAAACCCGACGGCTTTCACGTGTCGGGCCCTGGGAGACACTCGTCCGACACGGCTTCCAAACTCTTTCGACAATTTTCCGGCTGCTGGAAATTAGTTCTGGGATGTGTTGGGAACCCCCAAACCGGGTGGTGAGATACCAGGTGGCGACCTGGAATCCCCAAAAAGGTCACCGCTGGGTTGGGGGACGCGGGGTCACCACCGGGTTTTGTGACTCCTGGACCCACCAGTGTCCGGGACTCACCACCAGGTATTGTCACCACGACGTTTGGGGACTACCAAATGTGGTCTTTAAGTACGAGGGGAGCAACATAACACCAGGAGCGACGCGCGCTCCGAGACATCTTGCAGCATGTGCGCCGTGGCGGGCGCTGTCTGGCCACACCGCTCGGGGAACGATGTGCTACAGGAGGGGTGCACCGCATGTTCCGGTCGGGCGCCGTCCTCCAGAGATGACATCTAGGTGCCAACATGTCTTTGTGCGTCCCAAGCGGCAAACGACCACCGACCCAGGCGGCGGCGACCCTGCACCCACACCGCTGATTCCAAAGGGCTACTATGGCAGTTGTCATTATTTTTGTGAACTTTCAGGATCATCTTGATCATCGCCATCGTCATCTTCTTCATCATCATTATGCTGAGATCTCCGGGGAAACGTTTATCATCCCCCCTTGGACCCAGAACTTTCTTGTCCCCAAGGGGGTATTATCTTTAGCTGGCGGTTGTGCTTCTATGCGTCCCAAACGACCACCGACCCTCGGGCCGAACGAAAGGGGGGGGGATAGGGAAAGGGGGGGTGCGAAATCTGCTGCATGTAGGTGGTTTCGGCCCCGCCGCCGGGCCCGCTCCTCGATACCTGGGCGCCTCCCGGCGCCGGGAGAATCAGCTACGTGAGCTGATCCTCTACCCGACCCTTTGCTAATGGTCCCCCCCTTCGCGGCGCCGCGGAGCCTCCAGGCGGTGGCCCCGGAGGGACAACAGACGTCCGGGAGGGCCTCCGCGGTCTCGGCTGCGCCCCGGCCCCGCAGCCGCGATGCGCCGCGTCAGTGGGAGGCTCGGCCGGGGCCCGGGGGCACAGGTCGGCGGCGAGAGAGGGTCGAGGCTCGCGGGAAGGCGGCGCGAGGGTCGGTGGTCGTTTGGGACGGGGAGCTCCTCTTTTTTGAGCGATCTCCTCCGAAAGAGGGCCCCGAGAGCGCTCCTACGGCTCCCCGGAGCGCCCAGACGGCCCCGAGAGGCGCCCAGGCGGCCCCAGGAGGCGCCCAAGATGCCGCCAAGAGACTTCGAGAGGCTCCCTGAGGCCCCAAGAGACCCCCAAGAGGCTCGCAAGAGGCCCCCAGGGATGAGGAGGGATGAGGGGGATTAGGGAGAAGGAGGAGGAGGAGGAGGAGGAGGAGGAGGAGGAGGAGGAGGCCTCCCAGAGGCTCCCAAGGGGCCCCCAGGAGGCTCCCAAGAGGGCCCAGGAGGCCCAGGCGGCGGCCCCCCCTGCGCCCGCGCCCCGGGCGCCGGGGCTGGCACCGGGGCTCGCCGTGCCCGGGCGGCGCTGCGCGCCCCTGCCTGCTGGTGGCGGCGCCTCCCGGGATGGCGGTGGCCGCGCCCTCCGAGAGGGTCGCCCTCCCTCCTCCTCCCCCCCCCTCCCTCCTCCCTCCTCGCCTCCTCCTCCTCCTCCTCCTCCTCCTCCTCCTCCTCCTCCTCCTCCTCCTCCCTCCTCCCTCCTCCTCCCCCTCCTCCTCCTCCCTCCTTCCTCCTCCTCCTCCTCCTCCTCCTCCTCCTCCTCCTCTCCTCCTCCTCCTCCTCCTCCTCCTCCGCCCCCTCCTCCTCCTCCTCCTCCTCCTCCTCCTCCTCCCCTCCCCCTCCCCCTCCCCTCCTCCTCCCTCCCTCCCTCCCTCCCTCCCTCCCTCCTCCTCCCCTCCCTCCTCCCTCCTCCCTCCCTCCTCCCTCCCTCCTCCTCCTCCTCCTCCTCCTCCTCCTCCTCCTCCTCCCTGGCTTGGAAGTCGGGCGTGCTCCTCTACAGGAGGAGTGTTCAAGAATAGTCAAAGCATAGCTTTGGGACGAGTTGTCTATAGGGATAGTTTTGTTTATTCGTTGCTTTGCCGATCGGCGCGGGCCCTCGCACCCCCCCTCTTCCCCCCCCTATGGAGTAGATCTTGGCTGTTTCGCGGCGCCTCTTTCGAGCAGGTGGAGTCTCCCCCCATGGGACGCACTGCTGCAAACAGTCGCGCTATGCAGAGGTCCGTAGCCAGACCCCCCCCCCTTCCCCCGCTTTCCTCCCAGTGTCGAAACGCCGAATAAGAAACGCTCGCCTACTGTTCCTGACTATGTTAAAGAATTGTTTGACCTTTCTACTGTTCCTCCAAAGCCCGCCTGTCGGGGACATGCCAGACCTCACCCTGGCTTCGCGCGGTCAGTTGGACGGCTCTTTGTGCGTCCCGTTTGCCCTGATTACGCCCTGCCCCCCATTTGTCCCTGCAGTCGCCGGCGCCAAGCCAGGAGCTCGTGCTCGTGCACCAGCAGCTCGACGAGAAGGGCTTCGGTCAGGTCGATCGCCAGCACGTGCTCATGCCGCTGTGCTCTCCACCGTTTTCCCTCTTCCCCTGGTCTACTGCACTGCTTCTGAAAGGGGGGAGGGGTATGCGGATGGGAGGAGAGGGAGGGAGAGGAGTACGAGGAGGAGGAGGAGGAGGAGGAGGAGGCGCAGGAAGAGGGGGCAGAATGACGAGGAGCAGGCGGAGGAGCAGAGGACAATGGCAGAGAGCAGGGCCGGGCGTGGCGAGGAGGAGAACGAGGGGGACGACGCAGGGAGGGCGGGAGGAGGTTGGGGAAGGAAGCCAGCCATGTTTCGGGAGCCCGTTTACCCCGGCAGATCCTTGCACGGACCCCTTCGGAGCGCGGTCAAAAAGTACGCGCAGCTTGCGCCACAGCGGGGGGGGGAGGCTGGCGGAGAAGCAACAGGAGGAGGAGCAGGAGGGGGAGGGAAGGGGGGAAGAGGGAGGGCGGTGGCGGCGACGACGACGGCGAACGTGGACGAGGGACGCGTCGCTGGACTGCTGGTTGGTGGCGGCCGGCGCAGGTCGATGGAGCCGGGCCGGTGGCCAAGGGCTTGCTCACGGGTCTGCGGGAGGCGCGCTCGGGCGGGCTGCCTCGCCCCTGCGGGGACCCCAGGAGGGCCCCCGGGGAGAGTCGGCGCCGAGTTCGTCGTCGTCGTTGCTTTCGTTCTCTGGGAAAAAAACGGTGGGAATAAACACAGTGGGAAAAATTCACACAAAAACACAACACACACTGTGGGAACGAAAACACAACACACACACACACGCTGTGTGTGTTTTTGTATGTGTTTTTGTGTGTGTGTGTTTTTGTGTGTGTGTGTGTGTGTTTGTGTGTGTTGTGCGTTTTTTGTTCCCACAGTGTTTGTGTGTGTGTTTTTCCCACAGGGTGTGTGTTTTTCCCTCGCGCCTCCTTCCCCCCGCACCCCTCCTGCGGGCCAGCTTGCGGGAGCGCTGCCTGGCCTCCTTCGGGCCTCTGCCATGGGCCTCCCCTTCGGCGCAGCTCGCGCAGGTGGGCACGGGCGATTCCCGAAACGGGCTCCGATCGGTGACCACTGCTCCCGACTCTGACTGTGCTCCTCACGCTCGCGGAGGGTCGGGCCGGACGAAAGGGGGGGATTGGGAAAGGGGGGGTTACGAAATTTGTTGCATGCAGCTGGTTTCGGCCCCACCGAGGGGCCCATTCCTCTGGCGCCTGGAAAATCAGCTACGAGAGCTGATTCTCAAACCCCCCCCTTTGCTATCCCCCCCTTTCGCCCGGCCCGAGAGGGCGGGCGCGCGCCGGAGATGCGTCGCGTTGTGGAGCTTTTCCTGTGCGCCTGACTGTCCCCGGGACGCTTCTGCTTGGCGCGGGAGGGTGTTGCGATGCTCGTGGGCGGGCGCTACAGGTGTCCCCGAAGGCCTTCGGCTGCCCATGCCCTTTCTTCCTTTTGATTTCGACGGCAAATCGATAGTCTGCTTCTTCCCGTGACCCAGTTCCTGGTTGTGCGTTCTGATCAGGCCGTTTTTGCCTTCAGCTTTCGTTTGGGGGTTGTTGCCGTTCCCGTCCGGCCCGTCTGGGCGGTTCAAGTACTTGTTTATTATTTGCGTTAGGTTTGGTTGCCAGACGTTCCTCCAGCAGATGAGTCTTTTCAAGCTTCTTGTGAACCTCGTTTCCGATTTGGCCGGCGAAGGCGTTCATGGCGGTGAGCAAGACCGTGGAGGCAAGCTGTGATTCCGCGCGCCACAAGACGATTGGAGGACGAGATTGTGATGCGTCATGTCATGAGCTGGCGAGGAGAAACATGTCAGCGCGCGTGGGGGTGGAAACGAAGCGGCATCAGTGGTGGGAATGCCAGGCAGGGTCACTGCCTTTGAGAGAATCCGTCGGGCAGCTAGTATAGTGCGACGAGGGAGGAGAAGCAAGCGCGGAGCCACCGCCAATCGGGGCCACCGAAGTGCAGCAGCCCACGGGGCAGACTCCCAGACACAGTAGAGAGACCGAGAGAGGGGCACCAGAGATAAAGCAGCCGCCGGGCGAAAGGGGCAGATCCACTTTGTCTGGGGTTTCTTGTCATCAAGAAGTCTAGAAACCCTAACCCAACCCTGATGATACACTGAAAGCGCAGCGTAATTCAGTTGGGCTCGAGTTTCTGCATCAGGGATAACGAACATGGGTGGCGATGTTGAAGCATCTGCGAACAAGTCCCACCCCTAATGTTCTCGGCCTCCTGACTTATGTCCTCTCTTGAAGGGTCACGGGTCCTCTCATGGCGAATCATACTGGGAGCATATCGCGGCATCCTTGGGGGTTCCTTGACTTGGCATCGCTCGGACGTGTGCATTTTGTCTC